TGCAAGATACTGAAGGAAGCAGATCAAGAGTTCACAGAGCTTATAACTTACAGAATCACAGAATGGTTTGTGTTGAACTAACTTATCCAGTTCAAACCCTCTGCCATGGGCAGGGACACCTTCCAGTAGACCAGGTTTCTCCAAGCCCTGTCCAACCTGGCCTTGAACACTGCCAGGGCTGAGGCAGCCACAGCTTCTCTGGGCAACCTGTGCCAGGGCCTCAGCACCCTCACAGGGAAGAACTTCTGCCTAAGAGCTGCTCTGAATCTCCCCTCTGTCAGGCTAAAGCCATTCCCCCTTGTCCTGTCGCTACAGGCCCTTGTCAAAGCCCCTCTCCAGCTTTCTCATGAGCCCTTTTAGGCACTGGAAGCTGCTCTAAACTCTCCTCAGAGCCTTCTCTTCTCCAGGCTGAACAACCCCAACTCCCTCAGCCTGTCTTCATAGGGGAGGTGCTCCAGCCCTCTGATTATCTTCATGGCCCTCCAGAAGCATGGCCAAGAGTTTATTACTTTTTTTATAAGTCATCTTCATCAAAAGTGCCAGTTCCTTCAGTGGTTTCAACAGAAATTCTGAAAGTAAGATGTTTTCTCTCATGTCTAAAGCTGTTCAGATACAAACTGAACAATTTTCTTCCAAGTCTAAGCCTATGAACTGTTTTGACTAATGTCTGATTACTCTTGTTAACAGAGAGGTAGTATTTTCAAGTGCTTAATTCCATGCATGTGAACTAGGGATGATTTGGTTATTCACAGCTTGATTTGGTTATTCAGCATTATACTTTCAAGAAAAACCAGGTACAAAAAAAAAGAAAAAAGAAAAGCACCCATGCGAGTATGACCTGCGAGCTCAAGTGGCCCTTTCACCATTCATGTATTTGTAAAGGGAAGCAAACATTGCAGATGTCTGCAATATTGCCAGTCAAACTGTCCTAGGATTTCACCATGTTTGTTGAGGCAAAATGTTAGTTAGCAACAAGTGACCAGCAGCTAAACCTCACAAGATAAGATTAACAGGAACAGAGGAAGAGGGAAGAGAAGCAGGGAAAGTGGTGTTGCTGTTCATCATCACAACAGAGAACTTCTCCAGACAGTGATGGCTCAATAGATTACCAGTTGCAGCCTGCCTTTACTCATCTCACCGAGATGTATTCTTTTGAACTGTAACCTCAGGAAAAATAAATAAATTGTCCTGAGAGTGATCTAAAAAGTAAAAACAACTTCACTGTGGAAAAAAAAGGGAAAATACCCTGAATTTAAATCCCTATGCCTTTTCCATTTAAGTGCTTTTGAAAGAAATTAATTCTGTGTCTCAAATACTGTTTTCCCAGATTTCTTCCACTTTCCTGCTATGTGAATTATTGAAGCAGGAAACACATTTTAGATTTTTCTGTGGTTTAGATTCAAAGTATTCAAGGTAAAATCTTGCTTCATTTTATTTACTAAAAATATCAGGGCTGCAATTTCATTCTCGTAGCTTAGCTCAACCCCTCCTCCTCCCCAAAAACTGCAACCAACCAACCAACACCACCAAAAAGACAGACCTCTCACTATCCAATCCTATAATGGGAAATACTGTTCTTATATTTATTTGCACCCATCAATGAAAAGGGTGTAACAGAAAGATCTTCATATGAAATGCCCGAATACAGCTGATTTCCCATCACTCAGCCTCGTAAGTCTTCTGCAGTGGGTAGAAATAAGCTGGTGTATATCTGGGCTTGGACTTTCCTACACAGCCTAAAACATCAAGCTCATAAATCTTTTGAGGGTTAGGTGGCTGCAAAGGGTATCATCAACTTTGAGGTTTTGCAATTAATAAAACAAACCAACAAAATATATGTCATGCAGTAATGTTCTGGATAGCATTCTGTCAAGGAAGTTTGTGCTTCAGAAACAGAGCATGGTGACAGTTGTGCATTGATACAGCAGTACAGAAATAGCCTCTGGATTACAGGAGATAGTATTTATTACATTTTAAGATTTAAATTGTGCTATATGCTTGTTTCAGAGGTTACAGATGACCTCATGTACCACTTCTTTGTGGGGAAGGGAGTGAAGAGAGGAATAGCTGTCCTTTCCTCCAATTTGATACTTCAGTGACAGCCTCTCTGCACATGGCTGTTGAAGCCTGCAGGTTTGCAGGCATAGACAACTGGAGGACAAGATTTGACTTCACGAGGAAGATGATGTCAGAAACAGCCTGTATGCCACTGCCTCCTATTGCCTCACCAGAGATACAGGATATATTGTCTGCTGAGTTTGTGCTTTAATTTTATCACTGTCTGTAGTTGTTGAATGAATGCATATTTCCTCATCTACCTTTCTCATGGAATAATTAAAAGAAGGAGAGAAGGAGAGGAAGGAGGCAGATCACCAGGCAGTCAAGTTCAGTGACTAATGGCACCAGTGAAGAAACCTGATTTCCTTTATGACACTGCTACTGCCTTACTATGTAACTTTAAGTGAAGCACTTGACTCCCTTTATGCCATGGTATTCTTATCTGTAAAAATTAGGCAACATCACTACCTTTCTCTGTAGGATGCTTTAAGATCCCTCGAGAAAAGGCAAAGGGTTGTCTTTACTCAGTTACCTTTAGAGATTCAGCATGGCAAGGCCCAAACTTTGCTTCAGATAGGTGCTAATGTGCTTCAGCTCTCAAATTTTTGAAGCTTTGGTGGCAGTTTCCTGAGTATGCAGACAGCCTGAAACAAAATTCCTGAAGGCTAAACCTGAGATCTAACAATACAAATTTCTAATGCCAGCTTTTTAACCACAGATTATATGCATACTCATCTGATAGGCTTATCCTATCAAAGTCAAGTGTTTGTCTCCTTAATCTTATTCTTACTGCCTCCAACCAAACTGCCAACATCTCCATTCTGTCTCTGGCAGTCCTGCCTTGGGGGCTCCACTGGGAAGGCAGAGCCAGTTTTCCATGCACAGAGATGTGGTCCAGGAAAGATGGCACGATCACCTTCCAATTTCATTGCACAAAGCCAGGCTTCGATGCTGGATAGATACAGGCAGTCAGACAAGTTGGAGCAGCTTGACCTGTGGGGAGCATAAGATGTGTCTTCACATCACACCCTGCTCTTCCTTTATTGTTCTTTGCCAGAACAAAGTAGGTACAGACATTCTCATAGGAAATACATGTAAAACGAGATCAAAACTAAGTGGGAAACACAAGGAACCACCAGGAAAGGAGTCAGACAATTTCTCAGTGCCTCAGTAACCCTTCAGCTGCACCTGATTCCGCAGAAGACAAGAAATGATTTTTCTTTCCAAGTTTCTGCCAGCCTGATGAGAGCCGTGTTTTCTTACTCTCCTGGAGATTTTTAAATCTTGAGCCTTTCAGAGGCAAAGCTGAATCATATGGTCCCATTCCACGTCCCATTCCTTTTCACCACCCTATCATTTTGGGCAGAATGAGCTGTTGGGTTTATCCAGAGTCCTCACCACCTCCTTTGATAAGGCCATTTTGTTCTCTTACAGGACTGCCATTGCTGAGCCCACCTTCCTCTGCCCTGGAGGGAACAATGCTTTTTGTGCATAATTGACACACTGAACAAAAAGCCTTACGCACCTCAGGAATAGCTGTTTCCATCAGCAAACATTTCCCCCAATGCAAAGAAAGCATAATGATCTAGCACACATCACGAGAGCAACATGACTTGTCCTGGAAGTGGCAGTGACAGACCTGACCACTGGACAGGACTACACAGCTGTAACGTAAGGTGGCTGGGGTCAAGAAGCGGAGTTCAGCCTGTCACCACCACCCCACTCCTGCATGCCTGTATTGCAACATGCAGTGGCCACCTCGGTTTGAAACCGTTTAACCTGCAACAGCACAGGAAAGGGACACAGCAACAGGCACATGGTCCACATGATCTTCACCTCCAGGAATGCTGCATTCGGTGGTCCCCAGCCCACTTCCTCATAGGACAGGTGGCTGAATGGCAGAAACCACTGTCGTAATTAGCTGCTTTATGCAGTCAGAGCACAAGAAACATGGGAGAAGCTAGCACAGCGGCTGCGCACACTGAGCCTCTGCACTTTAGGGGAGAACACTAGACTGTGCAATTGTTTGCTTACTCTTGTGTGTGCCCTGACTTCACTGTTTCCAACAGTAAAATTATACTTGGGTCACAACTCTGTTCTGTCCCACTGGCAAGAACACAATCCTTACTCACGCAAAAATCCTCTCCACCTAGCACACCAGTTTTATTGGCTCTAAACCACCCCCATTCTCCCCCAAGGGACAGGATCTGCTGTCAGGTTTTAGAGTTTACCCCCTTTACCCATTATTACTTTTTAGCCATGTAGAAAAGCATGGGTCCGTAAACCATGTTGTACAGTCGCACCGTGAAAATCTGTGCCACAAATCTGTGCTTTATTACCACTTTTTACATCTCATTTTAATCCACACTGGGAAAGCGATCCTGCTCCCATCAAAGTCCGCAGCAAGCGCCCATTAAAATCTGGCTCAGCTAGTATTTTAATAACACTTAGACATTCCCGTCCTTTGCATATTTCATCTGGGAAGCGCTTTATAAACATGAATTTCCTAATTACAGGCGGGTGATTTACTAAAACTGGAAATTCCTCACTAGCTCTGGCTTTCACTTTGAAGCTGCAGGATTCGCTCCTGTCCCTCGGCGGTTTGGAAGGTCCCTCGACGCCGCTCCTTCGCGGCAGAGGCAGGGCAGAGAAGAAGCCGCACAGACGACGGCGAACCCGCCTTGAAGTTTCCGCGCCGGCGGATTCCGGCGCGCACTGCCGGGGCGGCGCTGCCCGAGGTCCGGGATCGCCGCCGGGGCGGGAGCACACGTGGTAGGAGAGGAAAACCCGGCGGCAGTGGGACGCGGCAGAGCCTCGCTCCGCGCCGGGCTCCGCACCGGGCCGAGCTGGTCCCCCCCGGCGGCCCGCCGCACCGGGCAGGAAGGGGTGGAGCGGCCGGCGGAGCGCACGGGCGGGGAGCCGCGGGCGGGGAGACATCCCGGCCATGCTGAAGCCGGGCGGGCGGGCGGCTCCGCGCCTCCCGTGAGCGCGCCCCATGGAGCGGCTGCCCGGCCAACCCTGAGCCGGTGGCCCCGGCCGCCCGGTCCCCCGCCGCCCCCGATGGAGCCCGAGGAGCGGAAGATCTCGGTGTGGATCTGCCAGGAGGAGAAGCTGATCTCCGGGCTCTCCCGGCGGACCACCTGCTCGGACGTGGTGCGGGTGCTTCTGGAGGACAGCCACCACCGGCGGCAGCGGCCGACGCAGCCCGAGCCCGGCGGCGGGATGCTGTCGGGGCCGCCTCATTCGTACTGCATCGTGGAGAAGTGGCGCGGCTTCGAGCGGATCCTGCCCAACAAGACGAAGATCCTGCGGCTCTGGGTGGCGTGGGGGGACGAGCAGGAGAACGTGCGCTTCGTGCTGGTGCGCAGCGAGGCCTCGCTGCCCAACGCGGGACCGCGCAGTGCCGAGGCGCGGGTGGTGCTCAGCAAGGAGCGCCCCGGCCACGGCCTGGGGGCGGCCCGCGCCAGCCTGGCGCTCACGCAGGAGCGGCAGCGGCGAGTGGTGAGGAAAGCCTTCCGCAAGCTGGCCAAGATCAACAAGAAGCGGCAGCAGCCGCTGGCCCGGGAGGCCTCGTCGGCAGAGAGGATGGAGACGCTGGTGCACCTGGTGCTGTCGCAGGACCACACCATCCGGCAGCAGATCCAGCGCCTCCGCGAGCTGGACCGTGAGATCGACAGGTATGAGGCCAAGATACACCTGGACCGCATGAAGCGGCACGGCGTCAACTACGTGCAGGATACCTACCTGGTGGGGGCCGGCGGCGGGGAGCCGGAGCCGGGCGGGGCGGCACAGCCCGCCGCCGGTCGCCCCGAGGAGGACTACGCCAGGAAGTGCGAGGAGGTGCTGCAGCTGCAGGAGCAGCGGGCGCAGCAGGAGGAGCTGCTGGAGCACCTGGCCGCCGAGATCCAGGAGGAGCTCAACGAGCGCTGGATGAAGCGGCGGCGGGAGGAGCTGGAGCTGGCGGCGGGGCCCGGCTTGGACGACACGGACTGCGACACCACGGAGCTGAGCGGCGGCGGCGAGGGCGAGCTGCACCTCGAGCACGAGCGGGTGAAGACCCAGCTGAGCACCAGCCTCTACATCGGCCTCAAGCTGAGCACTGACCTGGAGGCCGTCAAAACCGACCTGGATTACACGCAGCGCGCATGGGAGGACAAGGAGCGGGAGCTGCAGCGTTTGCTGGAGACGCTGGGCACCCTCGACGTTGCGGAGGCGCCGGCGGAGCCGCGCGGGGCGGCGGGCGGCGGGCGGCCAGCGGCGGGGGGCAGCGGCACCGCGGCCGGATGGGTTGAGCAGGCGCGGGCGCTGCGCAAGGACCGCGCCGACAACGGCGAGGACTCGGACACGGGGCTGAGCTCCATGCACAGCCAGGACTCCGACTCGCTGCCCGTCTGCGAGTCCCTCGTCTAGCGCCCGCCCGCCCGGCGGGGCAGGAGGTGGTGTGAGACGCAGGCCGACAGCACGGAGCGGGGTGGGGGGGCGAGATAACGCCCGGTGCAGGAGGCACTCACATGAGGAAACGTCTGAATTGTAGCTCTTGAGTTTAAACTTGTTCTAACTAGTCATCCGCGGGCAGCGCTTAGGCTGGCTCGCCAGTACTTTCATCTAAGGAAGAGAATCCCACAGCGTGTTTGTGTTCCATTCACGGCTGGGAATTGCGCCCTCCTTAAGTCTTGCCGCCTCCTTTACCCCCGAAGGCTTTCCCCTGGGCTTTTTAATCCTGCGGTGCCCCCCTGCCCCCCCTTCTCCCCACTGTAGTTTAGGCTACTTCGGGTAAACTGTAAGTAAAACGCTCCGCAGGGTGAATCGGTTCTCCTTAACAGTTTCTCAGCATTGCAAAGTCAGATGGTGGGTTACACTGGCTGTCATAGACAAACACACCCGGCTCCTTTACCGACAAAAAGTCATTGAGGCTAAAGCTGCTGATCGTGTAAACACTGCGGAGGAAAAGCAGTGTCAAAACTACTGACACCGGGATCTCCCAGGGCACAAGCTTGTGGAAGGTACTGCGGTTCCTTTTGGCAACAAAAGCGGGTGATAAATCACTTTTTTTAAAAAAAGAACAAAATGCAGACTAGCATGGTGTATTTGCTCGGCAGACTAAGAAATCTATTAGTACCAATGTTCTTTTGACAGCCATTGAAAGCAATTAGCAGCACCTCTATGTATACAGCCTTCAACTACATTTTTTCACTGGGCTAGCTGATACTTGGCTAAGCTTGGTTGTAGATAAACAAAGTACAGAATCAGCTTGAGCTACCGTTTTTAATAATACAGTTCACATCAGGCCAAGAGATACAACGATAAAGGTGTGACTCAAGCTCTACCTGCACTACAGCTTAATCTTTTCAGTTATTCCAGTAAAAAAAACACCAAACAACAAACAACAGCATCAGCTGTAACATGCATTTCACTTAACTGCCAGATCTTCCTCTTCAGTTTAACTCTTACCAAAACCATATGACCTGCTCTTACAATAAGAGACGTAAAGGATTCTTGTACTCAAGAATAATTGCAGAAACATTTTAAGCAGTGAGAGACCAGAGAATGTTGAGTCAGGCCTGACTGACAGCATGAACTTTGAAACTTCTGAGATTATTTATGTAAGGCTATTTATGAAAGTTTTCATTTAATGCTAAAGAAAAAAAAAAAAAAGGGTACACCCATAGACCACTTGTTTTATTTTTGATAAAACCTTTGCAGCTTCCTCACCCAAAAAAACGGGTTCCACTCTTTTGCAGTGTTCTTGCTGGTGGGAATTCTGTTGTACAACAGAAGACTAGACTGGTCTTCAGCTGGTCAGTTTGAAAGCAATTGGGGAAATACTGTCTGTGGGTTTGTTGAGGCTGAGCAATTCCCTATAGGCTATCATTCTTGATAAATGTTATTCCACTGAATGGGTCTCAGTTATAACAAACTGGTTTATTTTGAACACTGATTATATAGTTTTTCATATTTTAGTTGACCTTGAAAAATATTTAAGAACCTATTTTTAGAGCTAATAAAACTCTTTAATAATAATAATAAGTGTTCCCAATTGAGTGTGATTAAAAAATTACATATATCAGGTCTGGGACTGTGTTATCTTGTGGTGTCATTCACCCTTTTGCAAAGCCAGCAGAGGGATAAACCAAGTCAGACCTCTCCAGTCTGCCTCCTGACAGCACTGTCCCCTCGCTTTCTGGCACAAGGGGTTCCCTCAGGTACAACTAACATGTTCTTCAGATCTAGTTGCTGCAGGGGTAGAGTAGTGCCATTTAGAAATGTTGGCACATATCCAGAGTGAGCAATTTCACCCCACTATGCAATTAAACATACTTAGGTGGAAGTAGAGCTGAAGAACAAGTTAAGGGTTGTGGGAGTCATGTTGATGCCCTGCATTGTGTTAGCCAGTGCAGATGTAATGGGTGGGTGATGCAAGTATCTGTTGATAGCTTCTCCAGTGATTGATGCAAGCAATAAACCTGAAATTGCTTTACGTAAGCTCTCCCATTAGCCACACCAAGCAAATAAAAAGTAAGCACATTATAGAAATAAGCTGCAACAGGCCGTACATCATTATACTACTGATAGAGGCATCAGGTATCTTGTGAAGCATGAGGTGAAGGAAGCCAGAAGATTTGAAGTTGCAAAAGGAAGTCTACCTACTCATCCTCAGCTAGACAGTCTTAGAATCAGGGCAAAGCCATTTCTGCTTGTAGTGCACTGCGCAATACCTGCCCTTGGCGTCTCACAACCCCAGATCTGACGCAGCAGATCACAACCCTGCTGAGCTGCTGGTCCCTGTCCCTTGAGGCCAGGAGTAAGAACACTGCAGGTGGTACTACAGTTTCAAGGTTTTGATGGGAGCTGCAGTGACTTCCCACAAGGGCATATTTAAATGTCTTCCTATATTGTGCAGGTGAAATTGGGTATATTTATTTGATATTTAAACAGTTACAAATGCAATTGCAAGGGGCTCAGGTTTTGTTCGTGCATGCATGAAGTCAAACATCTTCACAAATCCCTCTCTCTAGAACCGTTATTAAAACTTTAGTATACAAGAGGAAATCACTGTTTGCATTGGGCCAGGTACTTCTCCCTTCCCGTCCGCTTCTGGACTTGTATATCCTCACTTAGATAATAGACAAGCCACAGGATGCTTGGCTTTGACGGGGAATTTGGGTTTTGCCAAGCACATAGCCAAGGGTTAGGAAAGTCCATTCAGAATCACAGGTAGAAGGGCAGGACTTTTGTCTCCTTTCCGCTTCTGAGGGAATGGAGGAGAGAAGTCTACCTTCTGGCACCACCAACAGAGGTCAAAGCTCCAACCTACACTTGCTTTTTTTATTTTATACCATTCTATCTTCCAAAGTCAAGTCCAATCTAATCTTTCATTCTAAAACCAGACAAACAGATACAGATTGCCATGGATTAAGTAAAAAACTACCAGCATTTTGAACTATTTAAGATAAATCTGTGCATAGTACCACATTGCCCCATTTATTCAACACCCTACCTGCTTCTGAGAAGAACCATCAATGACTGAGGCCACTAGGCCTTTCTCAGAGAAAGAAATCAAAGGGAGTTTTGTCTGGGAAAAATAAGCAGAGTAGAATTAGGCCTTAGTTTCAGGTACCCTTTTAAACAAGTATTATCAAGCAATACTGCACAAGTCCTACCCATTTGCTGCCCTTGGCCACAATTTTTCTGACCCTATATGGCACTTTCTTTTGTGCTTATAAAGAGTTTGTGGGACCAGACAGTGAATCAGATCAGAAAAAATTGATGAGCTTTAATTCAGGCAAGTCCCCGATGTGGCTCAACGTAGTCACATAAATACTTCTGCCAATGGCAAGGTACGGTGCCAAAAATGACAAAATTGAAGGCACTTTGAAAGGTGGAACTGATTCGGAACTGATTCTTTCAGCAATGGGCACTGCCTTACGCTGACTTGCATGTTTGCAAAAGCTTTGTTCAGACTGTACATACCACCCCACTCACAGTCTAAAGAGAAGGTTTCTGATGGAAGACCAGGCCTGGAGCTGAAGGTTCATGACATCAATTACACTCACCTACATGAAACCCAACACGAGTCAAGTAGTCCAGCTTTTAGCTTTGACCTTGTTTCAGACACCCACTATCAAGCAATATTACCAGAATGAGGACTGTCAAGTTTGATACATTTCTAGTCCTTAACACATGTAAGAGATCTGCCAGTTTGAATAAGCACTTTGTATGGCTATCATTTGATGCTTTATAATGGGAAGGGAAGAGGGGAGGCAAATACATTCACCATAATGAACACCACTGACATGCAAAATGAATGACCTATTATTTATTACCATTTATTCTAAAGCACCACGTAGCCAGCCAAATCAGTGCCTGGTCAATTTACAGGGACACATCCTTTTCCAAAGAACCCAGTCTTGGTTTCAGACAAGACAGAGTCAAAGGGTGGAAGCAAGTAAGTGGGTGCAAATGAAGGAAAACACATCATAAAGCTTTATTATTGACTGTTTGCAAGAAACATCTTCCAAGTTTGTTTTAAAAACAGTCTGTGTGCCTATGTTGGGAGAGACATAGACACAGACCTCTCCCTGTCCCAAATTCTACACTACTTTTTTAATCCCCTTTAATTTGCACTGAGCTGGGACTGCAGCTCAATACATGAAAAGAGCAGCACAGACCTTGAAATAAAATAACAGGTCTGGTGAGCTATGCTAGTTACCAAGTTGAAATACAAGCCATTGGGGGTTGTTGGAAGCAGTTGTCCTTTGAAGTCACTTGATATTACTGCTCCTGAGCTGCCATACAAAGTTTAAAGGAATGAGCATTGCAAAGTGCAGGGGGCCTATACAGATGTTACTTGTTTTATACAAACTCACATTGCTGAATTAACTGGAGTCTTAACAAAAAGGGATAATTTAATCATTTCCAAGCAAAACTGGGCTCTATATGCAAATTAGCCAAATATCTTCAAGCAGAATTGTCAAATAGAATTTTAAAAAAGACTGTTTGCATAACTGAATAAATCACTTGTGTAAATGCATCAGAGCAGAACCTTCCATGCACGGTGGATTGTCACACCCTTTCAAATGCTGAATAACACTACTGAGTAAGCCAGTGATTTCTTAAGAGTGTACAGTACTAACTCTACCAAGCATTAGAATATACCCTTAATATATAACTCCTGCAGGCTTTACACACTACCTACGTACCAGTTTATTTGGAAAGTCTTATTAAAATCTCCTTCCTTCAGTTCTGAAAGTGTGTCAGGAACCCATTGATGTTCCATGAAAAAATAGTTTTTCTTCCAATAATGTTTTTCCTCTTTCCTGTCAACCTGCTCCTCCCCTGCTCATCAGCATCTGACCTGGATTTCATTAATAGTCTCATTCAAAATGGTGGGACTCCACAGATTCAGGATTAGGATCCTACTTCGTAAGAAACCTGAAGAA